CGTCAACGATCAAAACACGCGCCACTGGACTAACACCAATCCTCGAGAATTGCAACAAAGGCCTTTGCATACAACCAAAGTGACAGTGTGGGGTGCAATTTTGTCATCTGAAATTATTCTTTGAGACAAATGAAGTCGCAGTGGACCGGTATATAAACATGTTACATGATTTTTTCCACGGCTTGATGTGTTGCAATTACACTTCAAACAAGTCGGTGTACGACACACACTTCAAGAGCATCAATGGCTGTTTTGAGGGAACACCTTCCACAGCCACCTCACCTCAATTAGGGACGATTTGAAGTAGCCGGCTCACTAATCCGACTTGGACCCTTGTGATTGTTTCCGATGAGGTCTTTTGAAATCCCGTTTTATGTGAACCATTCAAGATCTTTACAAGATTTTTGGATCAACATCCACCCAACCTAACGCCTGCTATGCTGGCAAAAGTCATAACAACTACTCAGGGGATGGAGTTTGTTTAAAAAAACAAAAAATATTCAGATTCATACATTGGGTTTTATTATTTTTGCTGCCGCATCCTGTTGTGAAATCGATTTGGTCATCCACGATTGACCTTATCGTAAAATAGAGTGTCCATAGTTGAAAAAAACGCATATTTCTCGAGCACCTTTTTTGTCTTTAAAGCTAAGATTTTTCCTGATCTACGGCAGTATCATCAGTCGTTCTTACAATTGTAGGATGCCTTTATGGCATCCTTGATTTTCATAGTTTTTCTTTTCCTTCAGACAGCGGTATTTCCAGATTTCTACTGATCCGTGGCAGCGGTCTATTTTGAGGTTATGTTACGAATATCTATTTGCATCAAAGTGTTCATGCTTTTGATTCATATCATCTGCTTTACCAGCCAATATCTTACAATTCAAAAAGAACATATAGCCTCGCAATACTAGAACGCTGACGCTAACACGGAACAGTAGAAATCTAAAGGAGAGAAAATGCTATGAATTCCTAATCATATCCTCATTTGTTATTGTTAAAAACCATAGCAACGCTACTCAGCTATTATCCAAAGCAACTTGATTATTATGTTATAAAAATGTGTTATCATCATGGTACAAATAATAATGCATTGGCACATTTAAATACAAGTATCTCGAAAAATTAACAAGTAAACCTTTCTTGTTGTGGAAATACGAGTAAATAAGATGTTCAGTCAGTTGTTGTATACAGGGTAAGACAAAAAAGTTACGATAAGTTATTTACCGAGCTAGTGCTGTAAGTGTCGCCCTCTAGAATTTCGGCCATAAAAAATAACGGATTGTTCCGTGTTGTACTAGAAAACCTCCATATACCGAGTTTTATGTCAAAATCTGGAATACTTCTCCAGCAATAAGAAAAAAATGGAAAATAAAATTGTAACTTGACACCCTGTATCTCGCAAACTATCAACTTTTGGACTAGGGTATGTTTAGGTCAATTCACATATATGGTCTGTAGTATCTCCAGTTTAGAGATTTCCCAACCTTTCGCGCAGACACTCTGTATACACGCCAAATCGTAACAAGCCTTTTGATTTCAAACAGCTCGACCAGCCATTTCATCCCTGTGCTCGTTTATGTGACAATATTACAAGATGCATTATTTAATTAATCTTCGACTTCCTGCATCCCCAGACCGTCACACCTTCAAAGTCTTCCATCTTCCATACACGACTATGTAAATAACTTCCAAATTCAACGTATTAGTACTAATACTGCTCATGATACTAGCGAGCTAGCTTCTTTTTTACAAAATCCTGAAATATCTGTTAGAATTTATCATATGAACATCAGAAGTATAAAACATAACTTTGACTACTTTAAATTAATTTTGAAAAAAATACAAAGTGATATAGATATAATCATTCTATCCGAAACATGGCAAGTGGGCGATGTGACTCTGTTCATTTAGAAGGGTACAATACATTGTATAATTTTGGTAACCATAATCAAAACGATGGAGTGATGGTGTATGTACGAAACAATCTGCCTTATAACCATACCATATTTACAATCAACAATGAACTAAAAGGTATCAATCTAACAATGCAAATTGAAAATCGTAGAGTCAAAATTACTTGTGTTTACCGACCACCATCTTCAGATCCTCATACATTTATAAGAGACATAGATGAACTATTAAAAAACATGAAAACAATCACCTTCATAATCAAATATTTATAGGCGACATCAATATAAACATTTTAGAGGAAAATTCTATGGTGAAAGAATATTTAAACATTTTATCAAGTAATGGTTTTTTATCATACATAAATAAAGTAACACGACCCACCAGTAAAACCTGCATTGATCACTGCTTTATAAAAGATATTTCCAATATTTTTTCTTACATGCCTATTATCTATGAAACCGATATACAGATCATTATTCCACTGTATTATTGATATATTCTCAAAATAAAAACCAGAAACTGCCCAAGGGCAAAAAATGAAAGAAACCTTGAATACAAATATTTCACTGACAACTCAAAATTAATATTTAACGCACAAACGGAATCGTGGGACGAAATTTTTTAACAAATTCTTAGACGAAGCTACAAATTTATTAATACACAAAATTCAAAAAGTAATTGAAGTTAGTACTAATAAGGTTAAAATAAGTCACAAGGAAAAAAGCAGAAATGATTGGATGACCAAAGGACTAATAAAATCTGCAAACGAAAAAGAAAGACTGTATAAAATCATGAAATATTTACCCACGAAAGAAAATATAGATCATTATAATCAGCATAAAAACAAATTTATAGAACTTTTGAGAAAAGCAAAAAAAAATTACTATATAAAACAATTGAATAATAATTCACATGACTCTAGACACCTATGGTCCACTGTCAATGATATATTCAATAAGTCATCCTATTCAAAAAACAATATTAATGAAATAAAAACAAAAACAGGACAGAAAACAGACAATATTCAGCAAATATGTGATGAGTTCATAGAATTTTTCACGAATATAGGAGGAAACTTAGCAAATAATATCAAACAAAATGTTGATATTCATCTGCATGAAACAAGACTA